TTTTTTTTTTTTTTTGGGAAGACAGTCTGACTGTCAGCCTTTCCCACAGCGCTTCCCCGCTGTACAAGGAGACAGTAAAGGCTGAGTTTTATAGTCGCGCTTTGGAGCGTGCATTCGGCCGTGCGTCGTCGCGCTATGACCGCAGGAGAAACGAGGTCCAGACTCAGCGAGATTTTGTGCGTCCTGGAGCACTGACTTCACCTGCACTGACAGTTGCCTCGCTGTGTCACCATGTGCTGCGGCGCGCGCTCCTCCCACACCAGGCAGTGTGGTCGGTCGGCATCCGACCGGAGGACGCACCGTCACGTAAACAGTTCAGCGTTCATTTTCACACACCCGAACCAGGTCCGGATAAGTTATGTTTTTTTTCCCCTCTTCATTTGCGCTCCCAGCCACGTTGCTTCCCGCTTCCTCTGTTTTGACTCCAGCTGGTCACGTCATCAAAAACAATTGCGCACTTGTCCGGTAGACTACAGATCTCTATCATAGGACAAATTTATATCGTTTCTACCGTATATCGTTCATATCGCGCATTCCTAGCTAATACATATAAGGCAATATAGCGTCGGYGCTARYRCAAAGGCTAACAGGCTAAGCTGAGGTTGTTCTTCCATGAAGCAGCTCTGTTGTCCTCCATCTATATTTTCAGTTACAGCTGAATCATTTCTACCTTCTCCTCTCTGTCAACGCTCTCTGGTTTCATTTAAAGGAGTCGATCGTCAGATATTGTCCAAGATTAACCTTCAGGGTGGATATAGCTCGCTCACACCGATGACCTATCCACATCATCGTTTACCCAGGATGCTTTGCGTGTAAATAAAATGGCTGTTTGTGTTAAAATATATTTTAAAAAATTTACAAAACTAAATAGACTACAGTATTTTTACAGTCTTTATTTTACAGTTAAAATATATGTTTATCAAATAAAGTCTAATGTTACAACTAATCGTGGATCCCTTTAAATTCTTTTCCTGTTTATAGTCCTCATAAAACATGCTGGCAAACAGTTTTCTAAACTAATCATTTTCCTGTGTTCAACTGTCTTGGGGCTGTACAATTGCCAGTGCTAATAATGAGCAGTTAAAAAGTGTAAATACATTTCTCCAATTTTTATTATTTTTTGTAGTGTCTATACTTTAAATCAATTTCATTGAGATTCAATCTCCAGTAAGTTAAAGAAATGCCCACACACTTGAAGTAAACTGTTATATATTCTTCTGAAATGCATTTTTTATTTATTTTTTATTTTTATTTGTTTTGTGTGTGTGTATGTTTGTCCTCTGATGTAGAAAAACATAGCTTAGGTATCTGCATTAAAACATTGTCATCTCTCTCTCTCTCTCTCTCTCTCTCTCACACACACACACACACACACACACACACACACACACA